GCATGTCTGACCCCTCTCTTATAGCAATAAAGATGTCAAAGGATGTCAGACAAGTCCACCTCCATTGCTGTTTATTGCTGGGGCAATGTTTCTATGTTATGAAAGGAGGCGATAGAAATTTAAAACTCCAGGAAGGAAATTGAAGATCACATATGGAACAAGGAGAAGATGGTCTGAGGGCAGATATATCAACTCCAAGTCCAAAATTCTACAGTATTAAGCAAACAAGCAATACCTACATGAAGCTCACAAGAACATTCTGCATCACCAAAGTGCAAATGGGAGGGTGAGTAATGGCTATTAGCTTCCTGACCAACGAGCTGAAGAAGATGTTATGGAAATTGATGAATGTGTCTACAGTTCCATCCAACACCCCTTTTTCTCCATCTCAGAACTCATTGCCCCCCAGAGGACTGACTGGAAGTTACCCTGTAATTGCGTAAAGTTTGAAAAGTTTTGCATTGAGTTCCTAAGTGAGCTAAAAGTTTCATAATTTGACTTTTTATATGTAACGATGGCATCAAAACTTCTAAGATTAAGCTGAGAGGGTTTTTTAAATAGATAAACGGATATTTGTGAGCCATCAGAATACTTTTAAGGATGACGTCTGTTAAGATTATTGGCAATTAAGGAAGAGAGTTGTAAGAGAAGTTTCAGTAAAATTGTATTAAAAGGAAATACGTAAAGTGCATATGAAGAAAATGTTTATGGGTATGAATTATTCAAACCGCTGGGACAGTATGAGAACCGAATGGCCACATGAAATGTGGTGATTATCATTTGCTTGCTGCATAATAATTACATGCTAATTTACTTTATTAGCTTGAATTAATTATTCAATAACTCGATTCTTATAATAAGGACCTAGAAAGCATGCCTTGAGCAGCAGACCGCAAGATCAGCAATCAAGCCCACCAGCTGCTCCTCGGGAAAAAGATGAGGCTTTCTACCCTGATAGAGAATTGCAGTCTTGGAAACCCACAGGAGCAGTTGTACCCTGTCCTGTAAGGGCACTGTGCATAGGTTTTGTTTTGTTTTGTTTTGCTATATATACAGGAGATGAGCCTTGCTCTGCTCTGGTCAGGAGACAGGCTAGAGTTGAGGGCCAGTGACCTCACACCCCACCATCAACCAACCTGCCTCCAATCAACACCAACTGTACTGTGACCAGGCAACAATGGCTTTGTTTTTTTATCTGAGTGATAAACCTACAAACAGAAACTAATGTTTCTAAAAAATAAGACCTGTGATGACCAGAACCAAAGGAGAGAAAGAGCCAGGGAAACCAGGATTGCCTGCAGAGTTTCTTCTGTGGACAGACTCCCTCACCCTTCCCTTAACCTTCCATAATATCGCTTCCTATTCTGTCTCTGCTTATTTTCCAATCTTATTTCACATTTATGTATAATGGATTTCCCATGGATAGCACTGCTTTTATATTTGTAAAACAGGAAACTTATTTTCTTAATTGCATCATTACTTAAAATCAAATAATAGAGTGAGAGCACTCTTTGGGTGATGCAAAGGATTCAGTGCTGAACTATAGGCTCAAAGCAGGATAGTTTGAACTCGCCCAGTGATGGCCTGGCAGATAAGCCAGCAATCTGTTTCCAAAGATCACAGCTTTAAAACCCTGATGGAGCAGATCCACCCTGCACACCTTGGTTTGCTGCAAATCCGAACTGACAGGGCAGCAATATCAGGAGAGGCAACTGAGGAGCCCGGCCATCTTTACTCCAGTTGACTTGCAACCCTCTCATGTTGTTGACATCGAACGCGTGGTAAAGATGAGCAGTCTGGAAAAGGTCACAGATGACTATCTTTTGAATACAAGTGAGAGAAGCCAAGGAATGGGAAGCAGAAATAGACCCAGCAATTAATCACGTCTTACTCCTTGGATTGAAAATTGCCTTCCTTTCTCTCTTGAACACATCAGCTTATACAGAGTCCCTGAAACCCCTTCTCCACGGAATCCCTTCTAAGGTATTCCCAAGGAAAGACGTCGGTGTTATCTGGTATGCATGTACTCCTCAGGTAGCTGAGGAGATTTTCATCGTTCTATAGAAAAGAAAGCAGTGTGCACTAAAACTAGTCAATTCAACTTTCTCAACCGACGAGGGTGAAGTGAGGGAGAGTGTTTAGGATGAAGTAGCTGTCTTGCCAAGGTCTGTTCCCTGGTGGGGATTATCTGCTATAGAAGTGGCTTTCAAACTTTTAAACATGTGAAACATGGCATAAAAAGTACTTTGAATTATAGCCGAATACTCTCATGTCCTTGCTCTCATACACAAGACAGAGATATCAATTGTCATACTACTTGTCCTTGAGATATTTCTTTACACTCTCATATTGCTTTCTCCGTGCCTTTTCTTTTTTCAAAAAAATGTCGATTGAGGTGCAGCAGATTGATTTTATAGACTCCACGTGATTGAAAATAGCTCACAGTGGAAAATACTTTCCTCAAGATATTTGAATGAGGGAATGGACCATCAAGGGTTAAGGTGAATCATAATGCCAAATCAAATTATTTTCCAATCAGTTGGATGACAGTCAGATGGAGTCCCCTTTCTTGGCCTTAGCACTAAAAGGGACAAGCCAACTAGGGAAAACGGATTTATAAGAAGATGGTGGAGGGAGAAAGAGAGAAGAAAGTGACTGAAATCTATCTTATTTAAGTGTTTGCAGTTCAATTACAAATAGACGTGTAGCTTGTCTTTTTATGAAATGGTGGTTTGGTTCTTAAGAATACATATATACACAAAGAAATACATATATGCATACACACATTCTTTTTTTCTTTTTAATAATTTTATTGGGGACTAGTACAATCTTATCACAATCCATACATATGTCCATTGTGTCGAGCACATTTGTACATTTGTTGCCATCATCATTCTCAAA